GGGTACATAAAATAGACTGAGAAGTGACAAATGGAAGATTGGAGGGGAAAAAAAACAGTAAATGCATTTAACATGAGCACAAGATGTTATTAGTGACTGAGGTAAGATTATGTTGGTGAACAATGGAGTCTAACAGTGGGGTTAAGTAATAGATTATAGATCGGGGTCTTTATTGACTAGAGTGTGAAAGGAAGGAGAGACATTAGTCAATATCTGAAGGAAGATGAGAAGGAACATGATCATAAAACTTGCACACGAGTGACTTAGTGAACAGGAAAAGATAAATAGGAGTCAAGGATATGTAGAGTTCTAAGTTAAATGAAGTGCTTGCACTGACATGGAAGTTGCTCAGGATGACAATAGAATTTGTGTGCCTGGGAAAAATATGTCAAATGCCAGAGCCCTAGATGACAGTGTCAGTGACAGAGAGGCCAATAAAGCACATGGGCAGGTGGGCAGTTCATTTGCCTTCTCTTCCACCAGAGGAATTTTTTTTGGTCCTTCACCCACACTTGTATTTTTTTCAGTGCTGAGGCTTGGTCTTAGGGCCTTGTGCCCTCACTTGGCATTTTTGTTCATAGCTGGCACCCTACCACTTGAGTATGTCTCTACACAAGAGTCTCGAGGGTGGCTTTCTGTCAGGGCTGGCTTTGAATCTTGATCCTCAAGATCTCAGCTTCCTGAATAGCTAGGATTATAGGCATGAACCACTGGTGCCCAAACTTTCCTTCATCTTTTAAGATTCCCCATTCTTTTGCCCAATCTCTGCCCCCACATACACAAAGAAAATAAAATTTAAAAACCCAAGCAAACGCCCTCATTTCATGGAAAACCATTTTCTTCTCCACTGACACGTCAGATATGATTTCCAGTTCTATTTTCTCCTAATAATTTATCAATCTTTTCTTATAGGACAGTTCTTTTGGAAAATTGCTTATACCAGCTGCTTAGCACATATACAAGTAAACAATAATTTATATTTGGGGTTTTACAAATACTAAAACTCTAGGCTGGCAATAGCTCTTAGTCATAGATTTGCTGTGATTTGTTTGAATATGTCTACCATGTTCAAGGCTATGTGTTCCCCCAGCAATGAAAAACAAAGCAAAAACACGAAGACCCTAACCTGCTGGATTATTTGAATTAATGTCTTCCTGGCAATGGGTATGAAAAGACATATTTTTTCATGCAATATTATCTTCACAAATAAGAGACAGCCAAATCTGTAAAATTTATCTCTTCTTCACAAATTCTTAAGGATATCAATTTTTATTTGATTCTCATTCCAATTACTACTATATTAGTGTGACAAATTGGGTTACTGTGTTTTCTGGGAAAATTACTTGAGTATTGATACTTAGAATATTATATTTTGTTAATGTTCTAATACATAAGAAATAAATTCTTATTTTGTGCTATGCCTTAGGGAAGTAGAATAAATTGATTAAAGCGAGAAGACCAGGGGACCAGCAAGTCCAGTAATAGTGAACTGAGTGTTGCAAAGTTCTCTTTAGATCTTTCAATACTATGTGAGGGCTCTTTAGCCTTTTCATCTGTGGTCCATTGGCTTTGAAGCTGAGGTAGCTTCAAAGTTTTACTTAAATGTTTTTTTATTAACTTTAACATGTTCTAAAAAATCACATTTCTTTTGGGTGCGGATGGCTCCCTCCTATAATCAATACTAGCTACTCAGGAGGCTGAGATCTAGAGGATCAAAGCTAGCCTGGGCAGAAAAGCCCCTGAGAGTCCATCTCCAAAATAACCAGCCAAAAGCTGTGCTGGAAGTGTAGCTCAAGTAGTAAAGCACCAGCCAAGAAAGCATAAGGCCCTAAGTTCAAACCCTAGTACTGCCCAAAAAATTTCATGCCTAAGTTTTATAGCAATTTATTTCATAGGGATCCAGAAATTAACCCTTTATATTGATAGAAAATTTTTCCATTTGGAAAAATATATTTTTACTCTACAAAAATGATAACTCTGTAACAAAAACACAAAACACTCTCAGACTTTACTGAAAGCTATCTTTAGAAGTATATATAAAAACTAGGGGCTGGGAAGGTGGCTCAGTGGTAGAGTGCTTGCCTTGCATGTATGAGGCCCTGGGTTCGATTCCTCAGCACCACATAAGCAGAAAAAGCTGGAAGTGGCGTTTTGGCTCAAGTGGTAGGGTGCTAGCCTTGAGCTGAAGAGCTGAGGGAAAGTGCTCAGGCCCAGAGTTCAGGCCCCATGACTGACAAAAAAAAAAAAGAAGAAGAAGTATATATAAAAACCCAACCAAATCCTTATTCCAAGTTCCTTAGTGATCATATCTTTCTCTGGCTAAGCCATAGCTGGGTATCATCATATAGAAAACTTTCTTATCCAACCAGAAAATAGATCAATTCTTTTTTTTCTCACTATTGTTTCTTTTTAACCACTTTTTCTGCTGTTCTAGAAAACCCTGAAATCAACAACCTCTAGGTTTAATTTTATACACAATATGCTTAGCATACTCTCTAGGTCCTATTCATGAAAAGAAAGTGTTCTTGCTTCTGTGTAATTAATTCAGTTCAATTCACTCTTTCATTCAACAAATATTTATTAAGCACCTACAATATGCCAGGCACTGTGCTGGGTGCTGAGGATACAACTGTGAACAAGATAGACACAGTCCCTGCCCTCAAAGAGCTTACAGTCTAGTAGTTTTACAGACGAGTACACAGGCAATTACACTGCAGTAAATGGTGAGTGCTGTGAATGGGAAGACACATTAAGAATGGCACCTCACTCGGCTTCACAGGCAGGGCATGGTAGAGACTCATGGAATTCTCCCAGGGCAAGTAAAATAGAATTTGAGTGTTGAAGGATGAGTGTGAGTTAAGCGGAGGAGACGGCGTTAACTCAGAGACAGCACTTACTGTATCTGTGATATTCCGTGTGCTGCTCATTTAGTGGAGGTTCGTTCAGTGGAGGGGGAAGATGATGAGCAGTAAGAGAAGTCCTCGAAGAGATAACCAAGGGCCAGGTTTTAAGAGGGGCTCATTTTTGCTGCTTACATTTTCCCAAGGGGACAGTACATACATGCTTTACCAGATATATACTTTCTAAGACTGCTCTTTCTGCTACACAGACACCAAAGTTATTGGTGGAGGTCTTAAGAGTTGATAGAAGAAAATCAATCCTTCACCTTAGCCATCTGAACTTCCATGATATCACACCCAGGTCTCTTATTAGCTTATCTCGTGGTATAGTATCCATTCCCCAAAGAAGCCATCGATATACATGACTTTGGGCGCTGCTTACCCACAATGCTCTTATCACCTTCTCCTCCAATGAAAACTCCACTCATCCTTCAAGGCAAGACTTTCAGGATCATCCTAAATTGTGCTTTCTGCCAAGATCTCTCACTATGCAGTTTTTAATCTGTATTATGGTACTTATTATTATTTTCAATAAACCAAACCTTCTTTTGTACCATGTCATTTTAACCCACACATAGCAAAGTATTTTCTATAAATAAATAAGAGTACAGTTTTCTTCACAATTTTCAGGTGAAAACAAAGACTAAGGATTGATTTGTTCATTTGTGACCTACCCCAAGCTATTAGTGCCTTCAAAAGATATAATGGAAAAATAGGAATGAGAAGTCCAAAAGACATATAGTTTTACGCAGCAAAATACAACCAAGTAAAAATTCCAATACACAGTTATAGGGAAAGTTGCTGTTAGAGCAATGATTAATTCCCAGACTCGACTCCATCTTTGACAATTTAATCTTCTAACAATCAAAGATCTGTAAAAGACAGCTTAGTGTGCAGAAAAGTAAAGGGCTAGCTACATTTTCCAATATGGTCCACCACTTGCTTTCTATCATCCCTTGTATCCTCTCATAATTTCTCGGATGACTTTTATAATAGTAGAAAAAAACTTTTAAGCTCTGTAGATATTGTAAGAACATCTGTTTTATTCTTTTTTTTGGTGGGTACAAAAACCACAATTTTGTGCACAGAATGAGATTATAAATAATAGCAATAACGTGAGCGACCCGTAGTCTCTTTTGATTCTACCTTGACAGATGGTTTAACGTAGACAACTTTCTTCACTTTTTGCTCCTGGTAGTGAGACAAATGCAATCTGTGAACCGACTTGTGTTGACACAGTGAAAATTTGACACAGCAAACAAGAAGATGACCAACAACTTTTATATTAAAAAAAAAGGTCTCTAAAGTTTATTACAGTGATGGCATTTATATCAATTATTGCAATGTATTGTTCCCTAAGATGGTTAGAAAAAAGAATTGTGTTGTCCTCTATTGAATTTACGTCAGTTAAAAAGCAAGCATGTTTCAGGTATTTGTTTTTTGTTTTTTCTCCAAAGTAAGTGTAAATACTTCCTTTAAATTTTTTTTCACAGGATTTACATGTTTGTTTATTGTTTTCTTATCACAGTTTAGAGATTTGTTGTGTTCTCAGCTGGAGATGCTTCCATGGACTCTACGGGTGTTTTGCACACACAGGTTGAGCATGTTCGTGGACGGGTATAACTGTTTCAATCCCTTTCCGTGATGACCAACGCCTTTCTGAGCAAGAACTTCACAGTTGAATACGCTAACTGGCAAGTCTGATTAGTGTTTGCTGATTTTGTTTTTGAAAGTCCACTCTTGAGTGACATTTTGTTGCTGTTAATACACCCAATTCCCGGCTCCCTCCCACCTGCTCCCCCCAAACAAGAACAAAGAAACAAACAAACAACAACAACAACAAAAAAACCACCCCTAAATTGTGAGTTTTCCTGATATAAAAATCTGAGAGTTTGGGTTTCCGAGCTGAGCTCATGCGCAGGTTTGCTGTTGCTGACATCCACCACCAACTAGGATGCGATTCCTGCCCCCAAGGATGTCCAGCCGCGGGCCCCTCGGTTGGAGGGGAGAGGAGGGCGAGGGGGAGAGGGGGGAGGGCTGCGTTTCCATCAGTCATCATCAACACAGTTTAATTAAGGCACTCAATTATGTTTTTGGTTTTTATGGTAGGTCCGATGCAATGACAGCCAATCCTGAACTCTGTCTAATTGCAGTTCCGGTGTGGACGGCCTTTGGGCAGTCGGGCGTCAGGACTCGGCCGTTTTCTCCCACGCTCCCAGTGATGGATAACCTGGCTTTGTTTCTTATGGCTTCAGAAAAGGTCAGCTGGGTTGCATGGAAAGGAAACAGAAAGAATGGGGCGTGTCATAATGTGACTGTTTCTTCAAGGACATGTGACACAACCAACATCCAAAAAAGAAAATAAATCCAGAAATAGTAATTAGACATCTGCATTTTCCATTATTTTTTTGTAAGTCCTATGCAAACTGCTTAGAAAGCAAGGAAAACTCCAATGACACCAAAGAACTAATCAGCCTGAAATTTATAGTCCCATCTATTTAAAAACTAATTCTTTTAAAAAAAAAACACACACACACAAAATTAGGTTTGTGTAGCAAATCTGGGTAGAGAGCATCTTTTAGTTTGCTCTACTTTATACCCTAGTACTTCTGGTGGAACTTCAGAGCTCCTTTAGTTTGGATAGTATTTTTGCAATCATAGTAGTTTCTTTTAGAAAATGTCTTCTTTACAGTGCAAGATTCCACTAAATTGTTTTGAGAGGAAGTGACAGATTGTCTTGTTTCCTAAACACAGACCTATCCACAGACGATTTCATTCATTCACATGAGTTATAGACATGACTCAACAGCATGGTTAGTGACAGATACTTCCCTCTAGGCCTATTATCAAACTCAGACTCCTGTTTTTAGTCATTCTTAAAAGGGGTGTACCAAAGAGACATGTTTTGGTACCTCCTGCAAGATCACAGGGCACTTCTCTTATTTAGGGCATAGAATTAATTAGGTCTCTGGATTGCTCATTAAATACTTATTCTTGGACTCAACAGGTAACATTAGATAAAGAAGAAGCAGACAGTTTAATTGCATAAATCTAATTACTGTTCATTCGTTTCTTCTATACCCTTTTCAGTCTCTTCAGTCTACGTTAACTCACCAGGAAAATAAGGTGAAGGAGATATTTGCTATACTCCTTTCATGACTTACATCAACTCTCCTAAAACTCATAGCTGTAATCCTATCTACTCAGGCTGCCGAGATCCAAGGGTTGACATTCAAAGCCAGCCCAGGCAAGAAAGTCTGTGAGACTCTTATCTCCAATTAATTACCATAAAGCACTAGCTTTGAGCACAAAAGTTCAGGGATAGCACCCAGTCCCTGCATTCAAGCCCCAGGATCAACACAAAGCAAAACAAAGCAAAAAAAAAAAGCATTTTCAGAAGGCTTTTACCCTAGTCTATTTCATTCATTCTTTCTTTCTTCCTTTCTTTCTTTCTCTCTCTTTCTTTCTGTCTGTCTCTCTTTCTTTCTTTCTTCCTTCCTTTCTTTTCTTTTTCTTGTGCTTGTTAAGAAAGGAAAAGTTCCTAAACTTGGAAAACTCCATTCACTCTTGAACTCTTTAATTGATTAATGCAACTGAGTATAATAGTTAATGAATCTTGGACAAGTAATATTTGTGTGTGTGTGCGCGTATGTGTGTGTGTGTATCTGTGTGTGTGTGTGTGTGTGTGTGTGTGTATTGCTACTGGGGCTTGAACTCAGAGCAACATCTCTCTATTTTCTCTCTTATATTTGTTCTATCACTTTTATTTCCTATACTTATGTCACCTGCTTATTCCATAAAATGTCATCCCTGTTCATCTTGATGTGAACTCCTCCCCCCCGGGGCTCCTCAAGACAGAAAACTTCCTTGTAGATTTACGTAGGATCTGAATCCATTTGAGTTATGGTGGCTGTTTATCTGGTGATTCCAATACCAAATCTTATATTTCTTAAATAATCTTAATGTATCTGTTCTCTTTGAGGGATGATCACTTTGATTTAGATCTATTATGTAGTGAAGGTTTCAAATTGGGCGGGGGGGGAGTCCTTGGAAAAATTTATCAAAATATTACCAACCATTTAATAATTTCATATACCAAATTTCCTTTTTTGTCAATAGAAGTTTTAAAGGGAAAAGCATTCATTTTAATTTGATAATAAAATAAAAATTGCTTACTTTCACGTGTTCTCTATAGGTGGAAAGAATTTCATTTACTCTGGAACTATTGACTTAAAAAGAAAGCCAGATGTGAATGTTTTCTTTTCACTTGAAATATATTGCTTTTAAAAGTTCAAATTTAGCTTCCTAGGTCAATTTTAATACCAGTTTCCTACTCAAAAATATTATTACATGTAAGTTACATGTTCATGTAGGTAACCTGGGAATTCATATTTCGTTTATTAAGTTCCCAAAAGTTTGTAGTAAACTGGCATACATAAGTATTCCTTTTTATAATTTTTAATATTCTTTTTCCTCTCTGTTTCTGTACTGGGTCTTGCTAATGGCTGTCCTAGCCAAAAAAACACCTCAATTTTAAAGGAGTAAGAAAAAAGTTTAATACATCTTAAACAAATTCATGTTAAAATGCAGTTGAAATAGTTAACTCTGAAAACTGGTCAGGTATTGTTTTTCTCAGTGTGAAATATCTCTCCTCAATTCTATAAACATCAAGATTAAAGTATTCTCCTGATGGCTGGTAGAGCTTTAAGTCATCTCAGTTTCTTGTCCTATTAGAAGACATGCTCATCATGTTTTGATCTACAGGAATTGAGGGTCTAGTTCTTAATTTTTTTTTTTTAGGTCCAGTCGTGGGGGCTGAACTCTGGGCCTGGGCACTGTCCCTCAGCTCTTCAGCTCAAGGCTAGCACTCTACCACTTGAGCCACAGCACCACTTCTGGCTCTTTTCTTTTTGCTTATGTGGTGCTGAGGAATCGAACCCAGGGCCTCAGGCATTCAAGGCAAGCGCTCTATCACTGAGCCACCTTCCCAGCCCTAGTTCCTAATTTTTAAAACAATAATTGGAAAGAACCACTTTGGAGTTGTTACTATTAACTTGTATTCAGCCATCAACTTTTGTATTATGGGTATAAGCAGTTAGATTGTGGTGAACAGGGTTGGTAAAGATAGGAACAATGTTTATCTTTAATGATACTTCCATGATTTCTGTATCTATAAATCACAAAATCATGGACATTTTTCTGGCATTAGATCAGCTGTAGTTTCTTACTAAAATGCTATTTGTTTTATTTTTTTTTACTTCAAGGTACATCAAAAGCCCTCAATATCTCTTGAAGGTTCAGAAACATTTAGCATGTGATCATAATTGAACGTCCCATTCACTAAGCTATTATATGTAATTTTAGAAAATGGTTTTGTAGAGACTTGATTTTTAGAAGAACAATAACAAATCCATTCAGGTGTTATTGGAAAAGCACTTTTTATAGTTACAGGAAAGATAAAGTGGGCATTTAGATTCTTTAAGAAACAATGGTCCCTATCTCCTATATTTCATGGGATACATATAGTTTTTTTTTATTGTAAAATCATGAGAGGATCAGAGTAAGTGAGATCACTCTGGTTTGGTGGAAAGCAGTTTTGAAGGAAAAAAGGAAAGTGCAGAATAGCTCACTGTAATTAGTTTTTATCTTTTACTCTATCTGTCCTATGGAGCTGATATATTCGGGACATCTATGCTTAAAATATCTATTCATACCCTTAGTGACACTATGCAAACAAAAGTTGAATTTCATCTAATAGATATGTTCCAGCAATCACCCCTCTTCTCCCTAAAGTGCTGGCTCAAAGGACAATTGTCAGATGAACCAACAGCAGGGATTCATGCTTTAAAAATATAGACAGATGGCCAATGTAAAGCAAATTAGATGGGGAGGTGAGGTTCTGTGAGTTCATACTATGTGCTTTTGAGCTTATATGTGTATTATTTCTTTAGAAAAAATGATGTTATATATAAAAAACAACAACAACAGACAACTCTCTAGGTTTTGATTCAGAAGAGGGTTTTTTTTTTCCTTGTTAGTGTATGGACTACATATGAGTTGTCGTACAAATTTGCCTGGTCAGTGTACTAGGAAGCCCAGATCTAATTTCCAATCTCTCCCAAATTTAAGGGAAGTCATACTATTTGAATCATCTTAGAGCAATTCTAGTTTGCTTTTGTCTTTCTGACTCTTGCAATGCAGATATCTATTGGCAACATAAAGTTTCAAACAGTACTTCTGCAGCCAAAGAAAATCGAACCACTTTGCACTCAAGTTTCCAAAAATAGAAAGCTCTAATTAGAAGCAAGCAAAATACCACCACTGGACAGACAGGTCACAACACTGCGTTCACAGGATGCATTCTCCACTCACTGTCATAGGCCCTAAATCCTACCCCTAAATTTTAATACTTTCGGTTCCATATACGTTGTAACCTTCTCTATAGGTTGCTAAATTCTGGGAATTCTGCGAGGAAGTTGGGTTAAAAGTCTGTGCACTCTTTGCCACCTTCATTTTCTTCGCCTCGGCCCTGGACTTGTAACAGAACTCTATCAAAGCCACCAGCATTGCCAAGCCCAAGCCGCCAACCAGAATGTAGAAGACGCCTGCTACGTTGCTCAGGCTCAAGGCACTCGTCTTGTCCTACAGAGGATAGAGACACGTGAGTTAATTGCAGGAATGTCACATGCAACAGGTAAAAAGCACACATGAAATCCAAACAGCCAATTAAAGTAAATGCTTAATTTAACCTGAAAGTATTTATGAAGATAAGTCACTGATGCAGGTTTATGGCTTGAAGCGTGAAGCTTATAGTTCTCAGAAGTGAAATTATAATTACCAATAAATTAACTGCCATTACATTTAATAAAATCAGTAACATTTTATTGCTATAAAATAGGCTGTGAAAACCACCATACTGAGCCATGTACAAGCATTTATATATTGACATAGGGTAACAGAAGTGGGCTTGTTATAGACTTTGAAAATGACATATTTAATATTCAATTATATGGGACAGGAGACCTCTTCTAGCATTATGTCTTTTAAAACGTTAATCTAATGTTTAAGATTTCTCTTTAATACACTAAAGCTCCCTACTTAAGGATCTTTAAGCTAGTACTTTCACATTCTGCTCATCATCACTTTACCAAATAAAAAGTACACATCATTTGTTCTTTCAGATATGACTACTGGGGAAATCTTATGAAAAATGTCATTCTTGCATTAGTTGCATTCTTGCATTCTTGTACTAGTTAGGAGTAATTATATATTATATAATATTCATATATCTACATAACAGGTAATTGTCTTAGACATTTTTTAAATTACCATGATCAACTGAGAAATAAAATATATAAGGACAAATTCGTAATTATTTTTATAGGTTTGGAAAATAGAATTCTACTTCCATTTAGAAATGCTTATTCAGCTAATGTTTTAAGACATCTTATTCTTTCGAGATCTACATACAAATTATTTTATCGTAAATCTGTAATGGTCAATTATCTAGAATTTAGAATTTTTCAAAAATTATAAGTTGGACTTACTATGAAACATAATTCCAAAAATATTTTGGCAGACAACCTGAAGATGGCTCTGTGGTCATCTTTTTCTCAGCAATATGTTTTGTGCAGAATGTGATTCAGATCTTAAATAATTTTTATTAGAAGAGTATTTAATTCAAAAGATACATTTTACTGTCTACTAAGTCATGATACCAACTGACCAGGCCACAAATTTTTTGGGGGGTTGTCTTTCAAATATAATCACTTATTCATGATTTTATAATGATTAATGATTTTATATACTTTACATTAAGTTTTACCATTTCATTATCTGGCTAAGCTTTTCTCACTCTACTCTGGCTCAAAGGTAGACAGAAGTAATTAAGTGTTAGACCTGCAAAGGGATTGACTAACTTGACTTTGTCTCCTTCTTAAATTAATTGAAGCTCTCCATTTAAGCCAGTCACCTGTTTAATGCCTATGAATATCCAGTAATTAGTTTTCTTCCTAGAAAAGATTATGGGGGAGGGGAAGAAAAGAGAACTCCAAGAATCTTCAACTGACTTTGAAACAATTAATTCTGTTCTATTAATGTGTAGATACTTTGACTGATTGATAAACTTGTTATATTTGTTAACAGAATAAGAACAGAGCTGTTGTAGTCAATAGACTTTGACTTGTGGCTTTCTTCAGTGTTCTGAAGAGAACTATTGAATGAAAGGTTTTAAACTCAAGGAAAGTATGTGTAAATATCAGTGTAAAAATAAAGAAATTTCAAATGGGAGAATGCAACTGGGAAGCTTATCTGTTTGTCAGGCCAGAAGTTTAACAGGGCCCTAGAACTAAAGTGGAATGTGTGTGGTAAATGATAACAAAATACTGAACTTTAGTATTTATCATCTTTTGTTTCTGGGTGACTATTCATCAATTTTTGTGAAGGGACTATATTAGCGCTTGAAGTAATAATGGTCTCTCTCTCTCTCTCTCTCTCTCTCTGAAACAAAACCTTAACCGTAAAGAAAAACACAGCTTTCATTAGTGGTACGTAATTTTGAGGATCCTATAAAAAATTTTATTTCAAGGTTTTTTTAATAGTTAATTTTAGTTTATTCTAAAACCTTACTGTTGGGGAATAAATAGGTTGCAGTTTCCTAAAGAGACGGTCCCTGTGGTTGAAATCTATGGCATTGTTTTCTACTTCAGGCAGTGGCTGGGAGTATAGAGAAACAGTGGTTTTTACGGTTTTCATAGACTTTGTGAACGCAAGAGGAGGCCCGAACTTCAGCGACTGACCTTGCTTCCCGAGTCCTTGGGTCCACATTCACCTTTATCGTACCACCATTTGTTTTTCAGCTTGTCTAAGACGCCTGCCTCACTGAGTTTCAAAACGGCAAGGTTTACAGGAGTTCTTCACGTGGAAAATAACATAAATAACATTATATATGTTATTTTATGTTATTCAAGTCAAACTACATAAGAATCGCATGGCAAAGTGACAGAGCAAAGGCCACAGTGGGTGCTATGTCTTATACCGTAGGCCCACGTTAGCATCAGACATAAAACTGGGGCCTGCTCCATCGCTTTAGGTAACAGGCACATACTGCTAGGGAGAATTGATAAATAAGATGTATGCAATTACTGTGAATCCAAAACTATTGGCTCAGAATAGGCTTTCTTTTTAATTCTCCCTCCCCACCCTACCCTGTAAATGTGGCACTCATTCAAAAACCTTTTCCCTTTCAAAATGAATGGAAGTAGGTGAAGGTTGATAGACTTACACAGAAGCTACATAGGACTGACTCCAATTCTTAGGTGAGTGCTTTTTGACTCACTCTAGTGTATGATTGTACTTTATGCTCTAAAAATGTCAGAAGTATCCATCAATAAACTGATTCCATAACATCTATTATCCAAGACCCAATTCACAGTAGGTTCAGTGTGTCGACCAGGGTCATTGATATTTTAAAGTATAAACCCATATTGATATTTTCCTGCTGAATTGCAGTATTTAACTCAATTTTCATCTATCCTTTGAGTTTACCACATTAATATGCTCCAAGTACAAGGTCAAGTGACTATATTCACTCACTAATTAATGAACAATAAATAAACAATAGTCACTCACTAATTAATGAACAATAAATAAACAGTAGTCTGAGGTAACCAAGATTTTTTTCTGACTAGACAAACTCCTCTGAACTAGAATGTTCTTTTCTCTTTCCCCCACTTTCCTACCATCTTTGATTCCTTTAGTATTAAATATCATAGAAAGAGTTGAGAAGGGAGATGTCAGCCATCACTCAGTATCACTTTTCAGAGTAATCTTTTATAATAATCCCCAACCTACAAGATGAATGACATAACAAGCCCTGGGATCCTGTATTGCTCACGTTCTTGTGCCCAGTTGCTTTCCATTTCATTTTACTGGAGACTGGCAGCATTCTTCAACTGCCATTTTGTCTGGCTGAATGGTTCAGTGACTCACTTCTAGGAGATGTTGACTGCATTCAGTGGGATGTAAGTCTGCCTTTACTTGGGTCACCAAAAGATGAATTCCACAAGCTTCCAGTGAGGTAGAGTATTAATAATGATGGTCATAATGATAGCTAACATTTACTGTGCACTTGCTATGAGCCAGGCATCATGGAAAACATCTTTACTACTCTCACTTATGCTTTATAAAGAAACCAGGGCAAAGAGCTTATTCAACTATGTACATAGGTATCAACTACTGCTGGGGTTTGTGGTCATGTAGCTTCATAGCATAGTCCATGAAATACATAACCAAAGACTTAAGACAAATGGGTTTCGGGATAGTTGAGTGTTCTGGTTAAACGTTAAACCTATTCATCTCTCTAATGTTCGTAATAAAAAATATTTCTAAAATATGTTTCTCATTTTGAAATGTTTTCAATGCAATTTAAAATTCGCATTAATCTTGTAATATCTCATATGTGTATGATCCTAGAATATTTTTTAAAATTAGAATCCTGCATAAGCATTATCTGATACTCTTTTAAAAAGCTGAGTTTGAGCATAGGAAATTGGGGAGCTAAGATTAATTCAGTGAAGCTGGGTGCCAGTAGCTCACGCCTATAATCCTAATTACTTAGGAGGTTAAGTATCACAGTTTGATGCCAACCAGGGCAGAAAAGTCTGTGAGACTCTTACCTCCGATTAACTACTAAGAAAGGCAAAGTGGAGCTATGGCTCAAGTGGTAGAACACTAGACTTGAGCAAAAAAGCTCAGGGACAGTGTCCATGTCTGAGTTTAAGCCCCAGGACCAGCATTCTCTCTCTCTCTCTCTCTTTCTCTCTCTCTCTTTCTCTCTCAGTTAATCAAAGTTTAATTGTCTACTACTCTCTTACCTTCATGTTTGAAATAACTACAAGAAAACTGTCCCTGTGGGATGACTGGTGTATTATTAACCTCAGGAAGCAAAGGGGATTCTTCTCATTCACGTTATAAGACAGTATTTACCAGAGTAGCTGTCTCAGAGTAGGTGCTCTCTATCCTGAAATTTCTTTAAACTCAGAGGAAGCCTTTTCTTTGAATTAATACTCTAATAGATCGTATTTTTAATTGGGATTTATGTTACCCAAACTGCGTCTCTAAAAACCCTGAGATCAAGCAATTCTCCCACCTCAGCCTCTGGTACCTGAACCTAAATAAGGGATTTTAGGTCTTCAAGCTAGCTCATCTGTTCCTTTACACAAAAACATAAACCAAAACCCCACAGGTGAACTGTGTTGGCCCTTACTGGCACTTCTTGACTGGCATGAGCTGAGAGGAGCGAAAGCAGAGACGTAAGGAAGCAGAGACTCTCCAGCTTTCCTCTAGGAAAGACAACAGAAGACAGTTTGTGGATCAGACGAAGCCCAGCTTTCGATGAGCTCTGTCATGTGAGAGGTTCTTTTCTCCCATTCTCTTCTTTTTAATTCTGCTGATGGTTTCTGTCCCTTCCACAGGCTGTCTTTGTCACTCCAGCAGCCTGGTCTCAGAGGACAAGTTCAGATCGGCAGTTTTGAATATAAGGCTCTTATTATTAGCCAAACTTAGTGTTCAACTGGTAGAAACACAGGCTTGAACAAGAAATTCAATACTGAGAGACACTCCAAGAGCCAACTATCTACTGTCTCTCCTCCTCCCCAGCCCGCCCCGCCCCCAGTTTGTTGACTGCATTATCTTCTATACTCTGAATCCTGCATTCGTTTTCATGGCTGTCATGATGGGGATTAATTCATTTAGGTAACAAACCAGAATAGGGTTGTCATCTTCAAAATGTCAAATCATGACCCTGAATTGTGTGATCTGATTTAATTTCTACATTATTTCACAATTATATCTACAGAATGATTTTCATCAATGTCTATATCCATGAGTATTTATACAATTTTATATCTATAGTAAGAAAATTAATGCTTTAGTCGTTATTAGTGGTATGATGACTGATGATTACAGACATTGCCAAAATTCCCAACTAAAATCAAGATTTAAAAGCTCAGATAGTAGCACAAAAGTCTGTGTATGATTTTTTACTTGGGCTAAGCCATATCAGATTGATCGAAAGGGGAAAATTTGTTTTATAAATTGTAATCTGTAATTTTAAGTTGGCTCATTGCCAATCAACATATACATATATATGTATATGTGTATGTTACTTGCAAGAATGAGTATGAAAGCTTTGTGACTGGTTAGGATTAAGTCACAATATTGAAGGAGTAAACTTTCAACCCCCCCCCCCACTTCATTGCATTTCCCGTAAGACATAAGACCCTGTCACTCATATCTCCTGTTGACTTTTCATGACTAAAGATTGTTATGATGAGAACCTGGCAGAGTTGGGAATGGTTGTCAGGTAAGTGGGGTGCTAATTATTACATAGTATGATAGGAAAGCTGCCACAGAGGCTTGAAGACTTCAGCTGCTGGGTATATTAAATCCTATGTGCCTTGAGGGAAAGACGGTGAATAATTTTCTCTTTCTCCATAGGTCCTGACACATTACCCAGCTGAAGCATAAGTTTAGTAATTTGCAGCTGAATGGAAACGGGAGCTGTGTGCTCACAGGGCTCCCCTGGTCCCCACGATTTCCATCCTGTGAGTGGCAGGCAAATCACTGCATCATCACAGGAACTTCCCTTCCCTTGGGAGGAACAGGCTTCCATTCCCCATCTTTCTTGAATAAAACTGGTAAGACAATTAATATTGTCTGTGTCTCAAAATCCCGTAAGCCAGGATTTTTAGCAGACTTGCCTCATTTCTCTTTACTGTCATCATGCAACGTTTGTCTCTCCTGAGTTAACTTTATACTCAACAAAGGCTTCAAAGCGAGCTGTTCCACTCAACTTAGTACATTTCCTCCTTCTTTTTCCTCTGTACAGGAAGATCAGCTGAACAGGAGGAGTGAGGAAAGGTTAAAAGAACACCAGTCACCTGAAGACAGTATAGAATGGAATTGGAAAGGCAACAGCTCTCTCCTGTTTACTCAGATGCAAGTTAGGTCTGGCCATTTAAAATACTATCTTTTATACAAATTCAAGGTAGGGCATTATTATGACTTACATTGCAACAACTTTTTGCTCTTATGATAAACATCATGACAATATACAACCTATTAGGATTGTTTAGAGTGGAGTTTGGAGTATGTAATGGCAGATATCCTGACATGCCGTGTAAATGGAGTTAAGTCTCTCTCTGAATTTATGTGGCCAAGTGTGGGAACTTGTAGACCAATCAGGAACCTGGAGAAAAGCAGTTTTGTTGGGGGTAGAATTTTTTACATTTGAAAAATGTAAAATGTATCTTAAAATTTTCACTCGTTTTGCATATCAATTGATGGTAGTTTCTCAGTCAGAATTTTCTCATCTAGTAATTATTTTCTTTAAATCTAAAAACTCTGCCATACATAAGGAAGGATTCTGGGACACTAGTTTATACTTGCCAATTGTATACATTTTTGAAATCTACTTAGAAATATAAAAACATTTTATGAAGTAAATTTGTCTAAGGTGAAGACAAAGAAGTTTTTTTTCTCTTCAATCATTTTTGTAATTGATGCATTCATGGAAGGTGAAAACTTGTAATTCTATGTTGGAGTTGTTACTGAATTCAAATGGAAGCCCTGTGAATTTTATGTGGGAAAAAAAACCACCTTTTTGGAAGGCTCCCTAGATGGTCTAGATGGAGTCAGCTTATTGCTGTTACTTAATATTTGGTAGAAGTTCTGGTCAAGTAAAATAAGAAGAAAACAAGTCAGATTTATCTTGATGTTTTCTCTCCTCTCTTCACTAAATGGCTCTTTGTGAACTCACATCCCTGTCTTTTCTTTCCAAACCATACGTTCCTAGGACTGTGAGTGCCTAGTCCACAGCCTCTTCAAACCAAAACTTTTCAGAGACTATTACCACCATATTGGTCAGTGTGCCACCAAACTGGTCGCGGTTGCAAATATTTTTGCCTTGACAGTAATTGCATACTTGTTTGTAAAGGGACGGGACTAGCAGTCCAGCTGCTGTGCGCACGCCTCCCAGCAGATGCACCTATTACTTGACATACTGTTTACCCGCTTTTGGTGACATTGAGGCTAACCTTGGAGTCACCTCCCCCGCTGCCACATTCTCCTTTGTCGTACCACCATTTGTTTTTCAATTTGTCCAAGAGGCCTTGTTCATTCAGTTTTAAAACTGCGAGGTTAACAGCATTTCTTGAAACGATAAAACATATTTTGTAAGAAACTGCACAGCTGTTAGGATGTTAGAAGGAATGAGGACTTAAAGCTTTTTATAAGCTTCTCCCAGACGCTAAATAAACCTCTCATTTTGCCATCCTGCAGCTCCATCCACCATAGTCCAAACCAAAGGCAATCAATGGTAACTAATTTCAAACATATTCCACATGCAGTATTTGGGGCTATTCATTTTCATAGTTTGTTTATTGTCAACTAACTGATCTTATCAGCAACCAATTACATCAATTTTTCTTTTTTGCAAAATAGTTAATAAACTCAAATTTACCAGTAATTATCTCTTGAATCCCTTTGCCTCTGCAAATGTCAAAGACCCCAAAGAGCCTGAAATGAAAATGTATTCCCTGAAGGAAAAACTCAAATGATATAAACAAAACAAGAACCTAACAATTTCTTTCCTGGACTGATTTCCTGACAACCAAGAGTGGGGCTTAATTGCTATTCCCTTTATTATCTGTGTGGATTTAATTTGTTTGATTCTGTTGATCTCAGAATGGAAGCTTTTCTGGTTGGATCAGTTTCATGGGCTGGAGGTTGTGGAGGAAACTTTCTGCTAAGTCTAGAGACAGGAGCAGCTCTTAGGGCTAAGTTCTTACATCTAAATTTTTGTGTTGATTTTTAAAAGCATGTGTGCTTTTTGGAAATCAGGATCACATATCCAATTTGACTGCTTAAATTAAGTAATTAAACACCAGGAAGTTATGCTGCAGATTCAATTTTCTCTATGTTTATCTCTATAGAAGGGTAAGAGGCAGACTATTCTAATTATTTGCTCACAGGTTTAAAAGTGCCACGAACCCTTGCCTCCTATGTATTTTGTTTCCTTATTACTTCTAAGGTATAGTTTATAAATACCCATTGACTCTTTCATAACATTTTTCCAGCAATTAATGAGATTTCTATTAAATCTAGGGAGTGGCTTGTGTACTGCAGGAATCTGGGTATAGACTGGGCTGTGCTTTCTGAGAAACACTGTCTTTGGTGACTACTTAATGATGGATGGAAAGAATAAAATAAAACAAAATACTATTAACAAATAGCATGAGTTCAAAAGTAAAATGTCACTTAAATGACTAATAAAAAATGTGGGCTTTAAAAAAAAAACCCGGGGCTGGGAAGGTCGCTCAGTGGTAGAGCGCTAGCCTTGCATGCATGAGGCCCTGGGTTCGATTCCTCAGAACCACATAAGCAAAAAACAAAAAAGCCAGAAGTGGCGCTGTGGCTCAAGTGGTAGAGCACTAGCCTTGAGCTGAAGAGCTGAGGGACAGCGCCCAGGCCCAGAGTTCAGGCCCCACGACCGGACCCCCCAAAAAAACCAAACCCATCAAATAGCCTATTTAAGTGGTTTTCCATGTCTCCACGTCACGAGCTCTTTCCCTGTGTGCTGGCCTTATCGGGGCACAAAGTCAACATTCCCAGTAAGTAAACCACACACTCTGGGACCATTAATTCTTTTTAAGAGTTAGACTGCCATTTACAGAATGCTAATTCAATACGTAGCTGTTCTCACATTCCCAAGTAAATGCCACATTAGTGGTGCAAAATAAAACATTTCTTCAACTAAACAACAGCAAGTAGTCAATTCACTGAACGAACCACATTAAAATGAAGGCCTGGATAAATAATGAAGATAGCTATCTATTTAAAAAAATTCTCTTGGGAAGAGATAACTGGTTTAATTTGTTTTGTGTCTACAAGAAGTGAAACAAAGGGATCTTTTTTATTTTGTTTTCTTTTGAGATGGGTTTTGCTATATAGCACAGTTTTGCTTCTAACTTACAATCTACCTGCCTTAGCTTCTCTAGTGCTGAGATTACAGGCGTGGACCACTACACTCATAAATTTTGTCTGATAGTAAGTTAAAACTACTAACATCTTAATGAAAATAATTCTTATCTTTCATTGTATTTTAGCTTTAAACATTTGTATTAGTGGTTTTTTTTAATGAAGTATCCCAATTGCTGTATATGTTGGTTTAGACCATTCCTTAGATGAAACAAACCATTTTATGAGAGGGTTATTTAACAGGGCTATTTGCTATATCAAAAGACAGTTTCACAGCACAAAGAAAACCAAAAAAAGCAAAATAAAGGAATGAATAAGAACAAAGCTTTATGTTGAGAAAATTGTTTGGAACCAAGCTTTCTACAAAATTATTCTAAGATATGATCTAATACCACCTGATAGGCCATGTAAAAACAGTTTAGTTTCACACTGCTATCTGTACATATATGTCTGTGTTTATATTTGATGGATATTATACATTTGACTGACAGATATATCACTGCCAAGTTCACAATCACATTTTCCTTCATGTGGTTGGTTCCTCAACAAACTGTCATATATGATGTTTAGTTTTGTCAATGCTATGACACAGAAGGCTCTAGTAATATCTGGAGATAGTTTTCAGTATTTCAAGATTTATGTTAAAAATATCTATGATTTTTTCCTACCATTGTCTACTAACAACATGATTTCCTTAGGCAATAAATTTACAGCTACAGGCATCACTGTATTGACATTTAAACTGCAGCATCAACTATATCTGCAAAGATCATTGGGAATCTGCTCTGTTTCATGAAATGAACTACTTTTCCATGTTGCTAATAAGAACCATCAAATGACTTTTAACCCTATTATATTAATTGACTCATTTTACCAGACTACAGCAAAGTATTTTTTTTTTATCCAACTGAAATGAGAAAGGTATCCTTAAGAGCTACTCATCAGCAAGGCTGTCATTAGAAGTCAGAGAAATATGGGGACATGGAAAACACTTAATGATAGTTTTGGAATCTCCTTTATACATTTCAGGCATGGTCTTCAAAATCAATATCAGAAACTCCTATTGACTATGAAGAATATTCTTGCTCTAATGAAGTGTCCAGGAAGTTGTAAGAGTTATCTGTCAAGCAGAATGATTCCTTTTAATTGTATTAAAGTGCAGCTTTTACAGAGTAAAGTCCATTGAAACAGACTGCTTTTCATTTAAAAAATGGGAAGGGAGGAAGAAGCTACAGTGAGTGAGCACATTTTTTTCTCAGGATGTGTAGACCGCACTTGAGAATCCAGGTATGTGGATTTTGATAGGACCTAGGTAACTGTCATACTTGCCTGCGACTCTTCTACCTTATGGGAAATCTAAATAAGAAAAAGTACTCTCTAAAAACCTTATTGTCTCAATGCTGTTGGACATGGATTGTGGGCTGTAATGAATTCTGGGGCTTTTGGAAAACTTGGGAGTTCTAGTCCTGGGATTTCCAGCTTGACGGATTTTCTCGGTGTACATCATTCCCTTACAGCTTGGGACACGTTGTTGTTGTTAAGGATGTAGTTGGTATTTGGCATAAAACAGAAACATTTTCCATTTAACAAATTTAGGTAAATTAAGGCATTGTAGGTTTTTTTTCTTCTTCAAAATACACTTATTTTCCTCTGCCCTTTCACAAATGACTTATCTTCTGATTCTATAACTTCAAGGAGGAATGCTCTTGTCCTTACTTTATGCCTTATGCACAACATAGATACTGTAGCATAATTTCTCTGCTGTGAGGTATTAAAGCACACAAATGATAAAACATCCACTAGCAGATGAAGGTCTAGATTTGCTACTTCGGGCTGGAGGTGTGGCTCAAGTGGTGGGGCACGTGCCTTAGCAAGTATGAAGTCCTGAGTTCAAACCCCAGTACAGAAAACAAACAAACAAAAAACCACACCTAAATAAGTGAGGCTTAAGTTTGGTAAAGTGCACTCATGATGTCCTGGATTTTCTACTATTAATGATCAAAGCTTGATGACAATCCTATAGATTAAATCAATATCTCCCTAGAAGCTATTCAGAGCACACAGATAGCTGAATAAATAATTTGCCCAAACTTCATTAATCTGGCTAAAATGAATTCAGTTCCATTTCTCCTTAATAGAACAAACATTTCATTATTGGCTGTGATGCCAATCTCCTGTGCCAGTCTCCAGTACAGTGAACTTCTCTTAACTATTGCATGATAGTGCTGGGGCTTTCTGTCCTGAGCAGGATGGATCCTTAGTTATATTCACCTGAGCAAAGATCTCCTGTGCTCTCCTTCCCTGAGTGTTCCATTCATGCTATGTTCTCCAGTACAATGCCTAGAATATTGCTTTGAATAAGATTCTTTTCATAGTCCCCAACAAATCCTATTTTTTTGTTGTTCCAATCTTGGGACTGAGCTCTGTCCCTGAGCACTTTTGCTCAAGGCTGGCACTCTACCACTCGAGCCACAGCTCCACTTCTGATGGACAATTGGTGGTTATTTGGACAAAATCGTCTCATGGAATTTCCTGCCCAGGCTGGCTTGGAACCATGATTCTCAGATCTCAGACTCCTGAGTAGATAGGATTATAGGCGTGAGCCAACAGTGTCCACCTTCTATCTACTTTTAAGGTGTAAAGTTTTAAACTATGTGAACTATAGAAATGTGAAAAGCAAAATAGAATTTCTTCACAATCAGAAAAAAGTATTTTAAGCAAAGATGATTTTAAGCTGATTATTGATTTAGGAGAAAAGAAAATCATGTAATGATTCAACCTTACTTGGAACTCAATTTTTGAATTAAAGTGATCCAAGTTCAGTTTTCTTCATTCTTATTGAAAAAATATTAAAGAGGATGCTCAATATCATCAAGGGTTTAGTAAACTGGGAAGTCTTATACACTGATGATCAAATTAAAAGCTAGAAAATAGTTTGCCTTTATAGGACAAGATCTTTAAAACAATTTTTATCCTTGACACAATTTTTGCCTTTGAAAACTAACTCCTAAGAAATTTGCTGAAGATGTAGCAAAATAACTTAAGATAAACTTCCTAGTATATTTATATATCAAAACATAGAGAACAACTTATATTTCCAAATGAAAGGAATAATTAAGCTTTCATACATCCCACTGGACAAAAGCCTGATTTGAGTATCAAAACCCCTTGTT